AAAGCATTTTTTCAAGAACTTCACTTCTAGTCATAAAAATGCTTTTTAAACTAACAGCTTTCTTCTGCTCAGTAGGATGTGATTTGTTGGAAGTGTCTGTTGACCTGGAACCAACAAGGAGATGACTAAGTAGGAGGAAAATGGTTTTAACATGCCTCTGCCTTGCCAAGGAATATGGAAACAATAACAGATTTGTCAAGTCTGTGGGTCAGCTAGCCTTGTAGTGATATATGATACTTCTCTGTGCATGACATACTTGGTGTATTGGGTTGTTTTTTTCTAAAGCACCATTTAGGAGCTGAAACGTGAATCTTTCTTTGTCCCAGTTGCTCTTTATCACCTTCATGGGCATGCTGTCCACTGATCAGATGTATCCAGAGTAGGTGGGAGATCTTGCCTTCTCTTCATTGTGGCAGGCACATAATGTGGACTGTCTTCTTACTTGTTTTACGGTGTAATTTGATAGCCAAGACTGTGCATGTTTGGCAGTTGCCAAAGCATTTTTGGTCCATGCACTAAAGCTCTGCAGTAGTCCTTCTCCCGTTTCCCCATTTTTGTTCTCCCCAAGCCACGACATCCTCCATGCTGCCTTTCCTTATCACTCTGGGGTATGTTGCATCACTCATGTGCCAAGCAGTCTCTTCTCGAGGTTTCAAACAGTGCAAAGGTGATTCCCATGTGTGATGGAGCCCTGCTTTCCTGGAGATGGCTGAACACCTGCTTGCCCATGGGAAGTAGTGAATGAACTCCTTGTTGTGCTTTGCTTGCGTGCATGGCTTCTGTTTTACCTATTAAACTGTCTTTATCTCAACCCATGAGTTTTCTCACTTTTACTCTTCTGATTCTCTCCCCCATCCCACCAGGAGGGAGTGAGCGAGTGGCTGTGTGGGGCTTAGTTGCTGGTTGGGGTTAAACCATGACACTGGTGTGCTTCCTTCTTTGGAAGAGAACCAACAGCTTAAAAAATTAGTATTCAATTTAGTAAGAAATTAAAACTTTAGATGCTGCTTTCTTCCCATGTAAGAGCAGAACCGTGCTCTTGGGGGGCGGGGAGTAATAATCACACAGATGACATCATAGGAACACCCTTTCCTCAGTGAAGAAGAGGTAGTAGCTCAGCAGTTAGTTGCTCTGAGATGTGCTGGTGACCAGGTTCAAGTTCTGGCTGTTTCGGGAGTGAGCCTGAACCACTCAGTGACCTCTCTCTCCCTGCCTTTTGGCACGTGTAAGAGTGACTTAATAAATATTTTGTTGCAACAGATTATGATCTCATATCCTCTTACAAACTGCATGTAGACCAGTCACTGAGGGATGGCCCTGTTCAGTGGAGAGTTCAAAGTGTGGGACAAGGCTTTAAGAAGGAAGCAGTGATTTTCAAGAGGAGAGTTGTTTAATAATACCTGGAGGTTTGCAGTGCTGGCCATCTCTCTGCTCTAAAAATGAAGCTTTCTCAGTGCTGAATTGCTAGAGGCTTTTAGATATCTCCTCAACTTTCTGTTAGCAACACCCTTTTTAACCCCCTACCCTTTTCTGTGTCTCACTTTTGGTTCAGGGTTTTTTCTGTGGGTCTCAGGTTTTTCATGGGTCATAGGGAAGTATGCTGCTGTCTCTTAAGTGCAGAGCTCATGGACAAGGTATTGCATTAAACCTGTTGGGCCTCACTGCCAGCTGCTGGGGAGAGGAGAAAGGGAAGAGATCTGGATTCTGTGGTGGGAGGGGGTCCTTTCCAGCCCTGCATCTCTGTTTCTACCCCCTGGACTTCCCTGGTAAAACCTGTCTGGGATCTGAGTGGTTGCAGTCTCTCTTCCATGAAGTTTCAAGATGACTTAGTGTTGCCATCTGTTCTTTTGGAGCAAAGCTACTGACTTGCTAAAAAATAAAATGCAGTGAATTAATAAAATCATAGAATCACAGAATGGTTTGAGTCGGAAGGGGCCTTTAAAAATCATCTAGTCCAACCCCCCTGCCACAGGCAGGGACATCTTTCACTAGGCCAGGCTGCTCAAAGCCCCATCCAACCTGGCCTTGAACACTTCCCATGATGGGGTATCCACAACTTCTCTGGGCAACCTGTTCCAGTGTCTCACCACCCTCATCATAAAAAAAATGTCTTCCTTATATCCAATCTAAGCCTACCCTCTTTCAGTTTAAAACTATTGCCCCTTGCCCTGTCACTTACAGGCCCTGGTAAAAAGCCTCTCTCTCTCTTTTTTACAAACCCCCTTTAAGTACTGAAAGGCCACGATGAGGTCTCCCTGGACCCTTCTCTTCTCCAGGCTGAACAACCCCAACTCTCTCAGCCTGTCTTCAGAGGAGAGAGGTTCCAGCCCTCCTGACTTCATGGCCCTGCTAACAGGTCCATGTCTGTCTTGTGCTGGGGGCCCCACAGCTAGATGCAGTACTGCAGGTGGGGTCTCACAAGGGCAGAGGGGGATGTTAACGTTAAGAAAATGTTAATATAGCATGGGTAGTAAGTAGTTACTGCAAACAACAAAAAATGGTGGATCAACTTCTTGACAATGGGAATTTCTGCCAGGTGGAAAGCTGCATGGTCTTTCTCATGCTGTTGTTTACTCTACTTTTTCCTTTCTTGCAAGTTAAAACCCTAAGCTAAATTGTTCTCTGGCATTGTCAGCATGAGCCCAGAGGTCTTTGGAGAAGCTAATTCCTTTGGCTTCTCCCTACTGCATCACCCAAAATAATACCATAGTCTGTCTTTAAGTGGCATGTGCTGTTTGTTTTTTATCACTACTCCAAACATTTATACTGGGTTGTATTTCCACCTCTGCCTTCTTGTGAAGGAATTTCAGCTGAACGGTTAACATCTCCCTTCACTTGAGCTTGTGTTTTTCTGGGTAGTGAATTAGAGGCTCCTTACAGTTTGTTAATTTTGCTTTTAGCGTTACGTAACCTGTACAAGGTTGTAAGTACATAATAGAACTTTGAGTAGGATGTTCTTTTATAGCTCATTTTACAGTCCTTGGCCTATTCCGCTTCAAAATTCTCATAAGCAGCCTAGGTTAGCCAAAATACACACTTTGTGTTAATTAAATCTCTTAAATAGAGTCTAATTTTTTCCTCCTCTTGAAGCTGGTGAGAGATTAGTAATAAAAGAAAATTAGCTGGTTGATAGCATCATATATGTGATCAGTGCAGAAACAGCATAACCGCCTCAGGTGTATGGTGAACTCTTCATTCCTATGTGAACATTCAACATATTAAAAGTTGACAACATTATTTGAACATTTATCCTGACAAGATAATTTTATCAAAGATCAGAATTAACAAACTGAGGAAGCACTAGAAAATGTAATGTATACATTTAAAAAAAGTCTTATTTCCTTCAGTGGGTTTGCTCCCATTAAAGTTTTGCACTTCAGCAGAAAGCAATCTTGAAAGATTTGCAATTGATATTGCTGGACCTACGATTTTGTTTGAGATGATTCCTTCTAAAACATGAAAAATAATTTGACTGTTGCTAATATAGGGTTTTGAGACTAAATGGTTAATTGTCGATTTCCTCTCCTGACCTCTTGACTCAGGCAGTGCAATTGTAGTGGGCAACAAGTCAGTAAAACCAAATTATCTTTTTTTTTTTTTTTCCCCCTCTTAAGATGAGGAAAGAGAAGATTTTCTGTGAAGGGTAATTGAGAGCATCCTGAGAGAATAAAATGTTGAGTGTTGATGAAAAGTAAACCTAATTCATTGTATCTGATGAAGTTGCTGTCCTAGATTTGTTTTCATTTCTGTCTGCAAATGTTTTCAAAGGGGTTTAACTTTCTTAAATTCATAAGATATTTCTGATTTACATCTTGGTTTCTATCTTGTTCTTGTGTTTTGGCAAGAACTCTATGTCACAATTTGTAGCTTCCAATAGGCATGGGGGCCATCCAAAATAGTTTTCATTTCCCACTGAGGTACGTTCTTAGAAGAACTTTTCCAATCCAAATAACTGGCATTTATTACTTCTTTTTAATTGCTTAGTGTGATACTTGCTTACATTTGCTGTTTTAATGTCTTTTCCTGTCTGTAAACTGAGAGCCCCAAAGGGCACATGCGTGCAGTCGCTGAATTCAGTTTACATAGCTCGACGGATGTTTTGGGGAAAAGCAGATTGTGTGTATGTGCTGTTTGTCACAGATGGTGTCCCAACAAGAAAAAAGTTGTGCTAATGCTGAAGGAAAATGAAACGAAAGTAAGTAAATGAAATAGCAAAAAAAGGATGGCCTTGGAGTTTAGCATCATTTTTTCCAGCAGCTTTGGGGAAAGCGGTCAATATGGCACATGTATGCTTGAGCTCAGCAAAGGTTCTCAAGTTGCGCTATGTAGGCAACAAACAATGGGCAGGAGAAATTTCTCTGGACAATTTTGTTCCTCTGGATATTACCAGTGTCCCAATTTTAAGTCTAATACCTTTTTTTGGTGAGCTTTTTGTGAGACCTGATCATGCAAATAGGTAAGGATCTTAATTCCATATTAAAAAAAAAAAAAAAGTATATTGCTAGTCTTTGAGATTGTAGAGAAAAATCTTAGAAGATGAAAGGGTTGTGAAACTTTAAAATAAAGGCAAGGTAGGCAAAACACAGACATTTCACCCCTAATAATTTAACTTAGGTGGGTCTTTTTTTTTATTCAGTTTTTTTTTGCAGGACCTGTGAATTTGTAATGATTTTTAGACCTCACTAGAAGCACACTGTCAAAACCAGAAAATAGTTTGAGTCCCGTGCCCATCCAGGAATACAGATCTCAAGTGTTTCCACTTCTGGTGTACATAAATGAGGAAGGGGGGGGTCATTTTTCAGAGTTCAGGATTGTTGGTGGAGGAGAAGAAACAGGACTCACTTTATGCAGCGTATTGCAGTAGTCCAAGATCCTGAATTAGGTTTTTAATTACCCCTTATAAAGCTTTTCTTCTGGGTTTGTTCTGCTGCCTCTCAGCTTGCAGCTGAACTAGTTACGTGAACAGTCGGATTAACTCTGGTCCTTCCCTTGCCTTTTAGGACTCCTCAGTGGGCAGACTTCTCCAACCAACACCAAACTGGAAAAGCTGGACCCCCAGCAGGTGCTGCAGCTGTGTCTCCGGTACCAAGATCATCTTCAACAGTGTGCAGAAGCAGTTGCCTTTGATCAGAACGCACTCGTGAAGCGGATCAAGGAGGTACGGCCCACGGCATGCCCGCTTCTGGTGCGGAAGCGCTCAGGTCATCGGCATGGCCGTCTTGCTCTATGAATGCAGGTGCTTGCTGTAGATGGTCTTGGGTCACTTGCAGCAGTCCACTTCAGAGTAAACCCTGTAGAGAAACTTTGTGAGTGTGCACTTCAAGCAAAGTTTCCCGGCTTTGATTGTGGTTGCTGTTAGGTAATGTGTTTATTGGTTATGCTCTATGATTCCTGGTTGTAAACAGTGGGTGTTCCTCTGACATGGCAAGTACTGCAAGTAACTATTGAACAAGTAAAAGATGACTGGAATTTTTAAAGGCAACATTCCTTATTTAGATCTGTATGCTTACCATTTTATTATGTATCACGGTTAAGCTCTAATTTAAGGAAAGAAATGGTTATCAGAACATGGTTGGAGAAGGTAGTATTTCTTTCTTTCTTCAATGGATTTGTAGAGCTAGACTGTTTTCAAAGCCCATAACATGTTGTCTCTTCTCTGATCCATATGGCTGCTAAAAAAGATGTTCCTGTGCTGCTGTTTTTACCACTAAACCATCATTTGAAACTCACTGATCTGCTTAAATATTCAATGATACTGTTGGGGAGGAAATTAATTGATGGGCTGAGCATCCTGCAATTCGATTCTTTTTCTCGTGTGTAACTACTGATGTTGGAAGCAGTAGGGTGGCTGACAACTTCATTTTTTTGTCAAGACAGATTGGCATGAGAGGAGATGCTGTTGGAGAGTGTTTTCTCACATATTCTCAGATGTGTGGAAGAACTGGTGAATGCTGCGTATGTCAAAAGTCTGTGAGACCAAATACCTTTCAATGTCAAAAGAAAATTTTTTGAACAGGTGGTTAATTTTTATTCATGCAATATAAACAATGACCTTGATTCGTTGTTGCTATGTTGGCTTAGAGTTAAGAAAATCCCACATGACAAACTGGATAATAAATTTGATTCATGGGCTGTTTTGAGAAGCTGCTGTCATCATGAAGTTGTAAGTCCAAAATAACGTGGGAGCCATTAAAAAGACCTTTTTACTTTGGTGTATCAAGATCTGAGGCCAGCTATTACACAAGATGTAAAGATATTTGCAGATGTTGGTGACTCAGTTCACACAATCTCAGAAATGGGATTTAATTGCCAGCCTAATGACAGTGTACTGCATTAATCCAAGCAGATTGTAATTCTTTTGGCTGTTAAAGTGTGAGAGGAAATATCGACATGATTTAAAGTTGTGGTAGACTCTACCAGTGCAATCTGCACTAGTTGGATTTGCCTTCTATAGGGGAGATTGTCTTTCAAATTAGCATTGGTGATGTTTTCTTCCTTTTCATAAGGGTTACGATTTTTTTTTCCATGTAAGATAAATATAATGATGATATTGATATTGTCACTGACTGACTTTATCACAGGCTCCTCTCTGACAAAGTGAAGGAGAAATGGGTGACTCTGTAACTTGGGCAACTGACAAGCCAGTTGAGGGTTTTTTTGGTCAAAACACTTAAGTAATTTCAGATGCTTTTAATCCCTTTGCCAGATCTGGTTGGTTTTTACTGTTCATTTTTCTAATAATTTTTGAATGTTTTTCTTGCATTGGCTGTTCTGCGTGTGTGTTCTGGAGGAGCCGGGTGGGACCCACTCAGCTTAAATCATTCTTTCCAAATTGTTTGGGCTCTCCTTGGTGCACTAAATTGAACCACTGTTGACAGTTGTTGACAACAAGGGGTGCAAGCTGAACTAGAACAGGGTATGTCTCTCCTTGCAAGTGTAGACAAAGGAAATCACGTTTGGCTGCACCCATTTGTCAGCAATGATTTAGTTTTGCTGTGTAGACAAAGCTTTGACCCTTGGTAAGGAGTAAAAATGGGAGAGAAAATGAAGTGTATTGTGAAAAGCATAATGTGTGCGTGAGATGGACAGTAAATTCTTTTTATCCTCATTTTAGTAGTCAGTATTTCCCTTTTCCTCTCACAGTGTAAGCATTGAAGTGTTTTTCTTCTGATAACAGACTTACCAAGTGATTGATGCTTTTAACTTTCCTACAAAATGCTGGTGAGCTTCAATCCCCAATTCCGGCCATTTGTCTGAGTGTTCACTTTTCAGACTGTCACTGACTGTACTCAGTGTAGTAATAGTCCTACTGTGTAGTGTGCTACAGTCATACAGCCTGCAGCCAGGATTTTTTTTAGTCTTTCCTTGACAGAATGTCCCAGGGCAAATATCTTTTGCTCATTGTCTGTGTGGCCAGAAAAAATGTTTCCTGGTTTCTGGCAAAACTCAAAAGTACTGTTGCAAATTCATTGGTCCTCGATAACTCATAATTGACTGTGGTGGTTTGTAAATCGGCACACAACCTGAATTAAAATGGCTCTTAATAGGAAAGAGAATAAGCTAAGGAAAACAAAAACCTTGCATGCCGTTAGTTACTGCAGATATAAGTAGGTACATCTGTGCGTTCCCCTACTTTGGGGACCAAAACAGTCTAGCTTTGCTCTCCGTCCCATTTCCCAGTTTAGCCAGAATTTCTTTGCAGTGTGTTGGCTGGATCAGTATCTGCTCCTAAACGTAGAACCTGTGTGACTTCCAGGTTGCTATGACTGTTTTCTCTCAAGAAGAAATACATTTACCCACGCGTTTGCTTGAAGGGGAAAGAATTGAAGATGTGATTGAAGGTAGTTGACTCAACTGCCTCTCTTCAGCAGTTACGCTTACTTGTACCCAAACTGTTGGTTTTGGAAGGGATTGATTTTTATCACAATAGGCTTTGTCTTCACTGCCAAAAAAAAAAAAAAAAAAAGGATGTGCTTGCATCTTTTTAGGGAAAAATAACCACTATGCGTTAAATATTATGTTTCATATTAATTTTTGGCAGCTGATTCACCATCTGTTGCAACACTGCATTAATTCCAGGACCACTGAAATATTTAGCATTCTTTTTAATTTTTTTCTCCTTATCAGTTTGAAAAACAACAGAACAGCAATTTGGGATTTATGTATGTGTTAATCCAGGGTTATGGCATCTCACAAAATTTGACAGTTTTCAAGAAAAAAGCCTGTGTGCAGCATTTTCTGGGTAATTTGTCTACTCCTTGGTGTTTTGTAGGATGAAAATTTTTAGTGTATTGGATGAATCACCACATTATTGACTTCTGGGGATGTTCTGTTCAGATGGGTCTGGGAATAGGATCTAGTCTGTCTACTGATGGTATGTTGGATCCACATGAGCTTTTTATATGTGTACGCTAGGATAAAGGTGCATTTTTAAAATCCATTAGATAGTGTTGTAAAATGCTAAGATATAAAAGGCAATTATAGCTAGTTAATAGGTTAAACTGATCTTACTGCACCGTGGAGCTTTTTTACCAGTGTGTTTAATGATGGGGACAGAGTTGATGACGCACCTTATGGAGAATGTGATCCTTCAGGCTAAAAATCACAGGGGTGAACCATGACTTGTTAAGCCAGGATAAAACAATCTTGGTCTGCCTATACTTGGGTGTTCTGTATATATATATAAAAAAAACCCCAACTCTTTAGTGTATATCTGCATGAGGACAAAAAAAGCTCAACTACAGTGTTCTTCCTTTATTTCTGTGGTGGGTTTAGTGTTCTAGCTGTAGACAGGAGGTCTTAACTTGCTGCATCCCACATCCGTCTCTGCCATGACAGTGGAGTAGGTCTGTGTTATAACTAGTTTGAAGTTTTGAGCAGCTCCAGCTGCTGCTGGATTTGCGAGCTGTGTGTGCTCTCTTTGCCAAGACTGTCTGCCTCAGTTTTGTGATCTGTAAAATGGAGGGTTTCTGCCAAGATTAGTTTGAAGGCAAGTGTTGTCCAGCACTAAATATTAGGTATGACTGGGGGGAAAGAAGCAAATGAAGCAGGGAGAGGGCTACTTTACACTAAGTCCATATCATTGGAGGATGTCTCTTTTGGGTGTCAGGGAGAGAATTTAGAAAGTCATCTGGTAGGGGATGGTGAATAACAAGGAGTGGGAAACAAGTAGGATAGGTAAAGGCTGGGGAGCAGAGCTAAATTTTCAGAAAGGGCCCATGATTTTGTGTGCCTCCAAAATTGTCTAGTTTCAATGTCTTAAAAAAGACTATTTTTCATGCGTTAGATGCTAAGCTTCTTAAAAATCACATCCTTCAAAATAGCTGAAGCTGAGTATCTTTTTACTCATCTCACTTGAAAATTTAAGCTGAGCTTCTTTCTATGAAAGCAAAAGGGAAGCTGAAAGGCATCTAAGGTACTTTCAAAGAAAGTTTGAAAGAAAAGGTCTTCAGCATTTCTTATTAGAATTCCAATGTTGACAAAGGGGATGTGCTACTCAAAGTATCCTATATACCCTTAAAGGCAAATGTAGTTCTAGATTAACTGTGCTTGAAATGTATTAAGTGGATTATTAGGAGGGCTCTTCCACTTTGCCCTAAACCCAAATATCAGTGCAGTGTATCTGTAGTTTTTATTGCCATAGGCAACTCAGGCTGACAGTAATTTTGAAAACAGAACACTTTTTACAATACAAAATGAAATTAAAAATATCTCAGTCTAAGCTGACACACGCCTACAGGAAAAAAATTAACACCTTTTCAAATAATCAACAACATTACTTTTGTATTTTTAACAAATGTGATGGTGGAATAGTTAAACAACTTCTGTCCAGGCAAGCATTAATATCAGTAACTGGTTTGCCATATAGCAAATTAGTGTATGGCTTGTTTTATACCTGTAAATTCCTCTACGGGAATGCCTTCTTATTTTGAAGAAATATTCTAGAAAAAGGTCTGTATAGATTTTCTTTTCTTTGCCAGCTTGCTGCAAAAAGTAATTGTAATGGGCTTCCCTAGTATGTAGTTAAGATGTCCAGAAATACAGCCCTGAACAGTTGGCAAGTAAATAATTTTTGAAGCCACACGTACACCACATTTTGTCTCCCAATACATTTTAGCTGTTTAAAATTATGGATAGCAGTTCAGTCATTATTTTATA